TCTTCGCATGATTGAAGAATTCCCCAAATTAGTACCAATTTCTCCACTCATTCCTCAAACGTCACACCCATTGGATCCAAACACAGAAACCCAACACAACGACAATAAGACCACTTTTACCGCAAACAATGGCAATCGATCTGATGCTCGCAAAAAGTATAAAAAGCATAACAATACTGTGAATATTATTAAAGTCATTCTACTGCTGAACTCAAAGAAATACAAAACGATTTAAATTTGAAAAATAATGGAGAAATTAATACCAATTCAGAGAATAATTTAAGTAATAATAACAAGAAATGTGAAGAATTGAGTGTAGAGTGGGTGTCAAATGACGGGTCGGGGAACGAAAATGAAGAGAACGAAGGAAACGATGGTTGCGGTGGTATTCATCAGATCAATCGACTAATTCAGTTACAAAGGACGCGCAAATAAAAAGAACCGCAATTCACACTTTATTCTGAGCGTTGTCTGGATTGACGGCGCCGTGAGTTCACTATTGAATGCGTGGTCAATGTGTCTAAAGGCTTGAATGCACCCCAAATGCTATCACCAGTTGGTTTGGGATCCAATAAGAAACTGGCGAGAAATAAAAGCGGCCAAATACATGACACGACTGACCGAAGAGCGCAACGCCGCTCATCAGGAGTACTCATTGATTATGTCTTAAAGGGATTCCGTCCACAAAGAGATCGAGAAACTACAGGAAGAACAGCAAACACTGCTTCGGAAGACCAAACAGCTCGAGGCCGAGAAGAAGATGTCCGTCGAAGAGATCGAGAGTATGAAGCGAAAGATCTCGTCGGCGCTGTTCGACAGGGATCGGGTGCTGAAGGCCTGCAACGACTTGCGCAAGAAGTACGGCGATTACGTGACCGGCATTCACGACGACGTCCAAAGCTCGCGATCACCGCACGCGCGCTCCGGAGGGCACAACTTCTGGGGCTCGTCGTCGTCGGGTGTCTCCACTTCGTGGGCTCAGGCGATGTCGAGGAACACAAACCTAACTGTCGGCCGCGTCCAGCAATAGCTCGATGTCTATATTCAGTCACCCGCAGACCAAACAGTGCAGTACCACAAGACTGGATAACATAGATCAGGCCAACTCTGAGATCGAGTCCCTTCGCAAACAAGTGGAGCGCTTGCAGACAGATCTCGCAGAAGCCCAGCAGGAGGTCGAGGTCTGTAAGCGGCGACGCGATTGGGCTTTCAATGAAAGGGACAAAATAGTGCTCGAGAGGGAAAGCATCAGAACTCTTTGCGATAAATTGCGACGAGAGAGGGATCGAGCGGTCAGTGATTTAGCGGAAGCGCTGCGAGAGTCGGACGATATTAAGCGCCAGAAGAATGAGGCGACAAAAGAGTTGAAGGAATTGAAAGAGAAGTTTGAGGGCATAAAACTGGAAAGGGATCCGCGGCCTAAATCTCACAACAATTCCCAATTGGGAACCAATAATAGCAGCCGTGACTCAGCCATCGACGCGGACCTTCAGGAGTACGAAATAGAGACAATGACTGTCTCATTGAAACGAGAGCTTAAGTCCAACGAATGGGGTTTCACTATCAGATCCGACGATAAGACTGTTTGTGTGGATACAGTGATGAAAGATAGTGTCGCCGACGGAAAACTCGTGGCCAATGATATTCTACTGAAAATAAACGAAACTTCGATTAATAACGACCTGAAAGTGGCCACAGATTTGCTTAAGAAGAATGATTTGCAGATTATATTATCGGTTCAAAGAAAACGTGTGACACGTTTTGTACAAAATGTGACAATCAGTGTCGAGAAGGGCCAGGAGTTGGGCCTCGAGATAGAGAGTGGCTATTACTTGAGTCGTATTAACGCCGGATCTGTTGCGGCTAAAGAGGGTAATATAGCGGTCAGAGATCGGGTCATATCGATCAACGACAAGACATACGACGAGAAGACCGTCTATGAAGTAATGCAAATCCTAGAGTCTATGCCTAACATTGTTTTGCAAATAATGAAAAACAATTCCAATGTGTGCTCGCAATCTAATAGCAACTCATCCATTGTTAACGCTTCCAAAAGCAGCTCAGAGTCGACGGACTCGAAGCCAAACCATCGAGAAAGACGACGAAAAATGGTGTCGACACAAACCGACAACTTCTTAGCTCAACAAAACACACCCAAACCTCCCGCGCCTTCCGTTTATCTACCAATCAATAGTCGAACAAATGAAGAGACGAATCCAATTACAAAAATAAGCATAAAGTTCCCAATATTTTAGGCTTTATTTTCTAAATTTTGAAGATAAGGAATACATTAATTAATTAATAATTATTAAACACAAAAAATAGAATAAAAATTCTATTTATAATTAATTAAAATAAAAGAAACACAGTTTTGGGCAACACGTGAAGAGTTTATTGACACATTCTTCGGTTAAACACGAGTTAGAATTTCTAGAGATGCCCATAAGATTAAGGCTCCGAAGTTGTCGACAAGTGGGCAATAATTGAAGTGAACAATTGGTAATGACCACAAACATTAAGTGTAAAACTTGTAATTTTGGTAAATTATTGCCAATATTTGCAAAAAATGTGTCCTTAATGTATGGAACGTCATGCCGTAAAAATAGATTTAAATGAGTTAATCGTTTCAATGGTGACAACTCCTGACTGGCCAACAGAGCGTCAGACGAAAGAAACCCCCATATTTTTAAACGCCGCAAATATGGAAAATATTTATTAATTGTGACCAACAAGTCGTGAGTCCATAAGCCTACATTTAAGTAAAAACTTTTTATTTGCCGACAATTAATACCAATTTTAATCAATAATGGGATCCACTCTTCAGATGAAATACCATCCGTTTGAAGTCCAAAAAATATTAATTTTTGCATTTTAGGCAAAAAATACAATAATATGGGCTTAATAGTATCGAGAAAATTATCCTCACGCGGCCCCATTATGGTCAGCATGAATGATTTAATTTGATCACCGAAATTATCTGCAAAAGCAATTAAACTATCAACATTTTTGGGCAAAGTATCCACAAAAATATCCACATTTTTTAATTGTGTGAAAGGCAATGCTGGTTGAGTTACGGACACTATAACTGAATAATTGCATTTCAAGTACTCCAATTTGTTGCACAATCCAATCCAATAATTAATCATGTAATTGTTTGCAATACTGAATGACAACACTTTTAATGTTTTCAATTGAGGACCAAATTTACTAAAAAATTTATCAATCATTTTCACACTTATATTTTTGAAGTCAATATAAATGTGTTGTAAATGAGAGCAATGTTTGATCATTAAATCAATAGTTGAGTCGTGGATATCGTAATAATAGCAACTAATAGTTGAAATGTTTGGGCATTTTGTTAAGATTTTCGCAAAATTAAGACACTCTTCAAAACTAAATAAATCAAAAACAAAAACTTTTTTAAACACCACTTTTTGCCACTGTTTTGAAACGCATTCATAAATGAACTTTTCTTCATTTGAAAGAGGATATAATAGTACTTCACACAAATCGTCACCGAACCGATCCAAAGAATCTTTTGCATACAATGCACACATTTTTAAAAAATATTGTAAAAAACTAATATTTCTAAACTAAAGCACACAACAAATTTTAAGTAATGACAAAAATATTGTAAGCTAAACTAAAAAATAGCTAACTTTGCAAATTCACTGAAAAGTTTAACATAAACATTATATTCAAGTAAAGCCAGTGGTGATGTAATTTGATCCTGGCACTAAGAAAGGGATTAAAACAGTTATGCAAACTTATGTGTCGCCTCCTGTAGTCTGGGAAACTCACAATTAATAAAACAAAACTTTAATAATTATTTTATGAATTTAAAATAAATTTTTAGCAAAATATATTACACTAAAAAGAATTGCCCGGACATCACGGCAGTCTCGTCACACATGAGTTGATGTTCAACGCAAAACTATCGGCGCTCGGATTCACCACTTATTTTGTTGATGAACATAAAGCGATAGAAACAGACCCGTTGATGGATGTGCTGAGCGGTGAGCGTACGGCCGCCACCATTGAAATGAAGGGCAAATCATTTACACTACGCGTGGACTCAACTACCGGTGCTCTCGAGTCCATTAAAATCAATGGAAAGAAACACCGATTGAATCTTGTCGTTTATTGGTATCGCACCGACAGTCCAGTCAAACTTCATATAGTTCTCGTCCTCATTCGTGCGCACCGTTTCGTGAATAAAATCCGTGAACTGTTGATTCAGCTCATGTACGGCACCCGACGTATGCCTGGAGACCGACTTTTGTTGACCGTAGTCCCGGGCTTTACCGTCCGGACCAAACTGATAACTACCCGGGTCATCGAGACCCGGTTGTGATAGAACTGATTTATACCATTTGAACGATTGACACCCGATTTGAGTCCGACTTTCACAACGGTGGCATCTATTATACCCACTCTAATGGCCGGCAGACTATACGCCGCAAATATAACCCCAACGCCAAGGGCTGTAGAGATAACGTGATTACTGCCAATAAGTTCCCTATTTATATTCACTTGTCCATTAAAGACGAGAAGCATAGACTGCAAAAGACCGTGCTGAACGATCGGACGCAGTGAGGCTCATCGCTAACAATCGATGAACTCGAGCTTATGATTTACTGAAGGTTGGAAAATAAGGACCAGGGTGTTGATTTTAAAATAGATAAACCTGGTGTTGACGGTAAGGGACTGAAAGTGCGGGGCCGACACTACTTGTACTTCAATACGATCGCCGACTCGCCAAAACTCATGCGAATTCGCAGAAATACGTGACCAGTTTGTCGGCAGTTGGCGACGCTCTGCCCGAAAACGTGCATTTGTTAACACTGGAGAAGTGGTCCAAACGGGAAGTGTTGGTCCGCATTAAGCACATGTATGAGTCGGCCGAAAAAAAAGCTCGCTAAACCCGTTTACATTAATTTGCAAAAAATATTGAAAACATTAAACATTGGAAAAAGTTGTTGAAATAAAATTAGCGGCCAATGAGTTGCGTTTGAGTGTCAGACATTGTGCGGCACATCTTTACACAACAACTCATACATTGAGTGAAACAACAAAACCATTAGATTTACACGACATGTGCGGACACATCGACGGCCGCAATAACTGACTGAACGACGAGTAGAGATAATGCCGAAGAGACGTCTGGAACCATTGCCATCGCATAACTGGTCCACGTTTTGCGGCAAAAGTGTTGGCGATTTCAACGATAATCACCGCAAAGACGGCGCCGTCGACAAGGAGAAGGAACCGTGCGATCCGTTGGGCGCGCAGACAGTGCCCGACGACGACAGGCATCGCGACGACAGCCGCTGTCCCGCAGATAACAGCCATACCATCGACGGCGAGCACCCGTCGGCCGCTGTGGCCGAACCGCCGGTCGCACAGCAGACGAACGGCTAGTCGTTGTCACCCAATCTGGACGAAAAGTGTGTTGATATTGAGGCGAAAGTCGAATCGCATATCGAAACCAATACAACGATCGCTGGAAAGCGCGTCCGTCGCCGCCACTTCGCCCACCATTTCTGTCCACAAGAAAATCGTTAAACACAATTTGTTGCAAAACAATGCCATCGCATGCGAGTTGGATAAGAGCGCTGTCAACAGATCAGCCAAAGCCGATGAATCCGCTCCGAAGAGTTCCTCCAAAGGCGGCAAATCGTCGCAAAAGCTTAAGATGCGGACCAATGAGGACACAAAGTGTTTCTTTGAGGCCATTTGCGAACACGGGAAAGACTTTCCGCGCATTGAATCGTATATGGCTCAGAGGTGTGAGAAGAAAGGCATACCTCAGGATCAGATCAAGAACTACGAACAGGTCCGCCATTATTACTACCGAATGTGGCATAAAATCGCTAACTCTATAGCGCCCAAAGAAGTTGTGGACAAAAATATTCAAGAGATTTACGGACTCATCAATTATGGCGAGATATGGAAAAAATTTGGCACAAAATTTGATAATAATTTAAGCATTTCTTTACAACAATTGGTTAATTTTGGCCACACGACATTCAAAGTAAAAAAGGGAAGAATTCGCGTAAAAACTCCCATTTGTAACGCATTGAAGTCAAAATCAAAGTCGCCGACAACATTGACCAGAATCTACTGAATCTGCCGAAAGAGGTGTGCATTGAATTACACTCGGCAAACAACGAATCGTGGCGTCGCCTGCAGTCACTTTCGCAATATAACAAAGGGCGGACAACAATTTTTGATAGGTAGAAAAAACATTTGTGATATTCAAAATGTAAAAATAAAATTTATAAAATACACATAAAAAGGGCAACTCATCCATCAGTTTAGTGAACAGCAAATGTAACGTTAAAAATAAATACAAAAAGCAATTTTTTACAAAAATACATCAAAATATTTACCAGAATATTCTGTAGCCTAATATTCAGTTTAGTATATAACCAATGATATTGTTGTAGGAGCCGTATGGCCGCCGAGTTTTATAGACGACCGGCTCTGCTTTTCAGCCGTTGATGAGCGGCCGGCCTTCAGGGACTCGTTGGCCATCCAGCTCCTGCCGGCGGACGTGCCGAACCCCATCCGTTAAAACGGCTAAAATATTTAAATAAAAATATATTAATAATAATTATAAACACAAAAATATACTTACAATTAGTTGAACACAAACACATAAAAATTTAATGAATTGAAAAATGAAAAGAGAAGACAAATGATAAGAATAAATGAAATGAAAAGATAAGAGCGAAAGTAAAAAGTTATAGATAATGAGTGGATTAGAGAAAGAAAAAGTGATGAGAAGTGAAAAGTAAAATATAAGTTTGAGTTATAGATAAGACAATGAGAAGTAAAAGTACAGTATAAGCAGAAAAGTTAAGATAGTAAGAGTGAAGTAAAGATGTTAATAACAGATAAATAGTAAAGAAATGAATGAATTAAACTAAACAACTAATTATTAATAAATAAATTAATACACAAAATACATACCTGAAACAGCTATACATTCACATTGTAAAACAAAATACAACACAAACACAAACAATAAAACAATAATGAACTAAAAGGGAGTCTTAGAAAGGAGTCTTAGAATAGAATGTAAGAAATGTTAAGTCAGGAAAAAGAGATGAAAAGAGAGATGAATAGATAAATAAGAGATGAAAAAACGAGTTCACAATGAGATAAAAAACATAAAACCTGCAAAACAAACACAAAATACAAATGAATAGACAAAAACATACATGTAAAGGGACACAAAAGAGACACAAACAGATAATTAACTGAAACATAAACATAAAAGTTAAAAAAATAATGTATAATTTGCAAAAGTTGTGACGACTATTGGCGCCATGCAAACCAGACGTGCCAAAGTCCTAACGCTAAGACGGTATATAAACTGCCGTCAAAATTGTATTAATTAATTAAGTTTTGGGTTTTTTAAATAAAGTATTCTATTTTAATTACTCGAGTATTTAATTCAATGCGAAGACTAGTGGACTCACCGACGGCTCTTCCATCCAGGCGGCGACGACTCTCCTCTTTGGCGACGACTATTCCTATCGGCGGCAACTCTATCCAGTAGCGGGACTTCAGTCCAGACGGCGGTGACTCTCCTCTTTGGCGGCGAAGCAACCCCATCGACGATTGCTCTCCGTACCGGCGACCGCTCTCCCTATTGGCGGCGACCGCTCTCCCTATTGGCGGCGACCGCTCTCCCTATTGGCGGCGACCGCTCTCCCTATTGGCGGCGACTCTCCCGATCGACAACACCTTACCGACTCAACATTTAATGTAAGCGCCGTAAATCTCCCTTCGTTTTACTGTCTCGATCTCGCCCTCTTACCACTCGCCCTTACTCTCTATGTACCATCAGTTCATATAGCTCTGAGTCGCTGTCGAGTGCCGGCTAAGTTCTTGTAGTGACGGTGGATGTCTTGTCGTATAGGCGTCGGTGCGGCCGCTAAGCCCTAACGGGTGGTTCTAACGCACTGGTCGCACTGTCGACGAGACGGAAACCTTACCTGCAGGTCTGTGTCGGTAACCGCCTAACAGCCGTAGTCCACTAGTATTTGCGGACCGTTAGCTGCGTCTGCAGCGCGGTTTCGGTCCCTCACCACCGGTGCGCCAGCGCCCATGGTCATCCGGCAACGGTTGACGGCACGGCACCCAAACCACTTGCCTGTACTATCGGCGGCTATCGCCCAATGCCAGGCGTGCTCCAGTCCTCTGTCGTCGGGCAACCGTCGACGACTGAGCACCACTCGCCTCTACTACCGGCGACTAGCGCCCAATGCCGGCGCGCCTTCAGCCTTCTGTCGGCGGTATAACCGTCGACGCTGAGCGCCTCTTGCCAGACACTCGGCGGCTAGCGCCCAATGCCAGTTGCGCCTTCAGCCTTTTGTCGGCAGTCTAACTGTCGACGCTGAGCGCCTCCTGCCTTACTAACGGCGACTAGCGCCTAATGCTAGGCGTGCTTCAGCCTTCTGTCGGCGGTCTAACTGCTGACGCTGAGCGCCATTAGCCTTACCACCGGCGACTAGCGCCCAATACCGGCTCGCCTTCAGCCTTCTGTCGGTGGTCTAACCACCGACGACTGAGCGCCTCCTGCCTAACACTCGGCGACTAGCGCCCAATGCCAGGCGTGCTTTCAGTCCTCTGTCGGTAGTCTAACCGCCGACGACTGAGCGCTTCTAGCCTGACACTCGGCGACTGGCGCCCAATGCCGGGCGTGCTTTCAGTCCGCTGTCGGTGGTTTAACCGCCGACGACTGAGCGCTTCTAGCCTAACACTCGGCGACTGGCGCCCAATGCCAGGCGTGCTTTCAGTCCGCTGTCGGTGGTCTAACCGCCGACGACTGAGGGCCTCCTGCCTAACACTCGGCGACTAGCGCCCAATGCCGGGCGTGCTTTCAGTNCGACGACTGAGCGCTTCTAGCCTAACACTCGGCGACTGGCGCCCAATGCCAGGCGTGCTTTCAGTCCGCTGTCGGTGGTCTAACCGCCGACGACTGAGGGCCTCCTGCCTAACACTCGGCGACTAGCGCCCAATGCCGGGCGTGCTTTCAGTCCTCTGTCGGTGGTCTAACCGCCGACGACTGAGCGTCTCATGCCCAACATTACCGGCGTCTAGCGCCCAATGCCAGACGCGCCTTTAGTCCTTTGTCGGTGGTCTAACCGCCGACGACTAAGCGTCTCTCGCCAATCTATTCAGGCAATCTCTGCCTGGAGTCGACGCACTTGCCCCTCGCTGAGTTCTCTAATCACTCGGTGGCAATGCGCCGACCCCTCCATTCCATCAGTCGCTCAACGGCTGATCACTCGAGGCTACTCAGCCTCACCCCCGCTATGTCTTGAACCCCCAAAAGAGGTCCAAAGCATAACAATATAAGGGTAGGGTTTGCGAGATAATGATCAACGAAATAATGTACAGTGTAGGGACTTTATTATGCAAGGATTTCTAAGTTAAATAACATTTTTATTATTTTGATTTTAAATGTCTAATGTGTTCAATATGATTGCCGTGTTCTTTGACAACAAGTCTGAACCGCTTTTTCCACGAAAATAATGCTCTTTGGATATCTTCTTGAGGAAACGCGCGCCACTCCTTCTGAACACTTTTCCAGAGCCCTTGCAATCCTTTAGGTTTGTATTTATTAAGTCGGCGTTTAAGGAGACCGAAGACACAGAAATCCATAGGACTAATATCAGGGCTCTTAACAGGGATATGCTTTCGAGGGATATAATTGATTCCAGTTGTGGCCTTCAATTCGTCCAACTTTTCGGTAGTTTTGGCCGAGAAATGACTTGATGCCAAATCTTGGTGAAAGTAGACATCTTTGAGCTGATCCACAGGGTACAGGCGCTGAATATCTCTGTAAATTGATGGCAAACAATTGTTTGAATAATAATCAGAGTTTTTCTTCACTTTTGGTGCCACTTTTTGAAGCTTAAGTTTGCTATTGAATGAAACGCCGGCGACAACCATAAAACCCTTAGGATTTTGTTCTCGAAATCGCACCCAATGTTTGTCATCACTTTTGTCTCGTTTGGCATAATAAATACCCCGTCGGCGGCCAGTGTTATGCATGTAAATCCATGCCTCGTCAACTGTGACCACATTTTTATACTTTTCGCCGCTAAGATATCGGTCGTATAGGTGTCGGGCAGTGGTCTTGCGGCGGGCCTTATGTAAGGCATTCAATGCTTGAACTTTGGCTTTTGTGAGAAGTTTTCGCATTAAATCAACATTAATTATACGTCTAATTGTTTTAGGAGTTGTTTTCAATCTTAACGCCAATTGATTTTGTGGTAATGAATGTTCTTTAGTCACAAATTTCTCTACTATTTTGATTGCCTCCGGAGTTCGCAACCGACGGGCGCGCGATTTATTGGGCGAAACGACCATTTGAGCCAATTTTCTTGACTTTTTTGTCTTGAAATTCAATACACGACTGATATATGATTCACTTTTTTTAATACCCATTTTTAATAATGCTTTTTTAATCATTGAATAAGAGGTTGGGATGCTGTGAAGGTAGCGGATGTGGTCATCCACTCCCGAAGGAGATAACAAAACAACAGACATTCTCACAAAAACAAAAAACACGTTTTTTGAAAGTTTAATAATTTGTTTACAGCTTTGATATGATTTTATGATTATAAGTGCTATTGTTTTTTAATTATTTACAGTACAAATCCTTGCAAAGATAAGTCCCTACACTGTATTCATTGTTTTTGTTTAATAATATGACTGATTATACGTTAGGAATATATTTAATGTTATTTCTGGATTAATTGCTTTATAATATTTATAGTAATTTAATTTTAAAAATATTTTATCTTAATATATCTTTACAAAATATCATGATTAACATTGGAAATTGAAACAAGATTAAAACACATTTTGGACTACTCCCAATAAATAAATATATTGTTAAGTTTATAATAATTCATTATAAAATAATATGTTAAATTCCAGTTTATATGCATTTTATTATTACTTGGTTATTTATAAATATTTTACAAAAAAATAATACAGAATAACTCATTTAAAACAATTAAACATAATCAAACAGCTGTTTAGTGTCCATGTGATATTATTTATTTGTATACAATATTATATAATCACATTTACCTTATTACTTTACAGTTTGTAATAAACTTTAATTTATAATTGTTTATATAATAATATTTTTTATTATTACAAAATTTACCCTATTTATTTTTTAAAATTAATATCCTATCAATTAATAAATTAATAATAAAAATAAACTGCAATTTTACTACAATTTTTTAAACTAAATTAAATAAAATATTTAAAATAATAATTACAATTAACCTTGGTATAACTTCGATAAAAAAAACACTTCGAATAACTTCGTTGCCTCTGTCGGGACATGTTTGGCTGTAAAACTAATTTATAGGAGGGCTCAGGTGTCAGCACTAGTAGGCGAGTCGACATTTCAGATGAATTCTTTGATACAGACATAGATATGTTGAGTGTGTGTTAGGTCTAGCGTTTGCGCATACAAGACAATTACATGTATGACTTTGATGTCTGCTTGTGGACACATTTTTAATGCATTGCATGGTATGGCTTATCTGTGAGTGAAGTGAGCGTTAGGTCTAGCGTTTGCGCACACAAGACAATTACATGTATGACTTTGATGTCTGCTTGTGGACACATTTTCAATGCATTGCATTGTATGTGAATGGCCTGTATGTGAATGAAGTTTGTGTTTCCATGGAAATCATTAGGATGAATAGGATTATGGGGTTAATTAACAAAAATCAATAAACATTTTCATTTTATTAAAATTAATAGGTTTTATTGAGAATAATCTTCAGATTTACATTCTGTACAATAATAAACAATATGGTCTGATTGGCAAACAAGTCGTTCGCAACCCTCACACCTGATTGATGCTTTCGTTTAGCCTTTAGGGGACAAATATCACAACGTGTATTATTACTGAATATTTTTGCAATTTGCTGTACTTTTGACTTCTAATAAATATTTCATTGTTTGTAAAATTCACAATTGATTGAATCATTTCCAAAGTTATAAAACTCTTAAATAACGAGTAATTGTTTTCAGCGGTATTTTTGGTTATCGGTGGGCCGGACTTCTCTCGTATAATATTTTGTTCTTTTGTTTTAGATGTATGAGAAGAGCTCAAATTAGTTGAATATAAATCATCATCTTTTTCAATGTAAATCTCTTCAGCACTTTGCTCTGTGAGATGAGGAGTGGTCAGATTCTTGGAAATCGTCGACTTCTTCATCGCTTGAGTTGTCATCAAAGTTGTTTTCATTTACTAGGTCTTCAATTGCCTGTTGATTTAATACAACTCTTCGACTCATTGTAAATCAATTTAATTATTGTTTATTCAATTAAAATATGGTTTATTTTCATAACAAAACACACTTTTACACAAATATAATGGATATCAATGGACACAAAAAAACGTTAACTTTTATCCTTTTATCATTAGCCCCAAATCCCTATTTAAATAGGGATTTGGGGCTAATATTATAATTCTATATTTTTGACAGTTTTTATGGACAAAACCATGCCATACGCTATAACACCACACATAGAGAAACCCATTATACGTATGCATTATCTATTACACGCAATGCAAATACAATGCATTGCATACACAGCCTAAAACTGTTTGTCTCAAACCAGACATGAAAGCTATGCGTGTATACTAACAATACTAGTGGCTGATGTGTGACGCTATCTAATAACTGGCTTGAACAAAACACTGCGCAGTGTTTCATCAGGATTACACCAAGTTTATACAGCGCAGTGGCAAATCAGTGTGTGAAAATGGGCACTCAGATTGTAGGGACGCGTCGAAATCTGCTATATAATGAAAATGCACTAAAATGTTAAGCGTTTAAAAAGTTACACGTTTGACTTTGTTGTCCGGTTAGGGAAAGGACTTTTCCTTGAAAGTCCACTACTCGGACACCAGACATGCAAATGAAGTTTGGATTAATCCAAAATATGCTCAAATGTTTGTTTGATGAATGGCTGGAATTTTTTAGCCCTGACTTATAAAACTGATTTTAGCCAGCTATTTTAAAATCAAATGTCCCGACGGGGACACTCCAAGTCATACTAAGGTTAAGCAAACAATTGTTTCCTACCAGAATAAAATAATTTTGTTACATACATTATTATATGATTTGCTTTATTGTATTAAAATACAGTTTCTATTATATTATTGATATTAGTATTATTATAATAATTATTATTTCATAATAATAATTGGTTTTAATGGTCAACTAAATCTAATTGTTTTTAATTAATTTATTAAGGTTATATTATAAACGAGACTATTAAATTTAGACTAATTTAACATTAAATGTAAAATAAAATACATGCACATGTCAATTAAATTTACTTTTTATGAATTGATACAACATACGGTAAAAATAAATATAATAATAGTAGAGTTGGTAATAAATTATTACATTTTACTAATAATGTACTCTAACGGAACTTACTAAAGGGCCCGAATGTCACGGTTAATTAATAATAAGTAAAAATTTCTATAAATTATTAATGCAAAAACAAATATCTTATTTATTTTAGAATATTTAAATTAATACATAAAATAAAATCATTTTAACATAGAATATATTTTAGCAGTATTTTTATTATTATCAAAATTTATTAATTATTTAGTTTCAAAAAACGGATAGAAAGCGCCCGTGGCCAAATAATATTTATTGCCAACAGTGATGCTCTCGTAAGGCTTGGCCAGTATTGCCTGTTCACCCAATACAACAGTGCCTCCATTAGCACCGGCACTATCATCGCAATCACCGGACAGGTATGTACTGTAGTCCGAGCACTGGGTGGCCACACCCTTAGGGTTATTGGGGTTTAGGCTGGCCGTGTAGAACTCTACTGACCTAAAGTGACTGCACGCAAAACCACCGTATAAACCTAGATGGTATGTAAGATTATTATATATTTGATCATAATTATAAAGGTGCTATAATGAGTAATATACCGTTATCGATCATAGCGCCCAATCGGTTAATAACGCAACCAGGTTGATCGTGACCGCCGTTAGGGTAAAAGTCCACGTGACCCGAGTTCTCGTTTATACCCAACCCTATCAATGGGAATGTGTCGGTGTGTATAGCATCCACAAATTGAGCCTGGTGAATAAATTTATGTACATGTAAGTTATTATAAATTATTTGAATATTGATTACGTTCGATGGATTGAGTTTGTCTTTGGTATCTTTACCGGCATAACCAGGACCTTGATGATAAATTATATAGATCTATAAATTATTTTAATTATATTAAGCAACAAACCAGCCGGGTCAAAGCCAGTGATACGGCCTAACTGTCCGTTAAATGCCTGTCCAGCGTATCCGGCGATGTGTGCGCCCAATGAATGACCCAATATATGCACATTGGCTACAGATAATCCAGAAGCACTCTTACCATTATAATGTAAAAGTGATAATTAATTAGCTTGATACATTTATAATTATTTCAAGTTATGTCACCTGTAAATCAGTAATTAATTTGGCGATCGCTTGCGCAACGGTATGTGTGTTTGCCATTGCCTAATAAACATTGTTAAACCAGATGGATTTAATTGATTAATATTGTTCACCTTGATCATATTTATGTATGTGTGTATGTAGGTGTATTTTATAATAAACTATAAGCATTTTTTATTTTGTAATTAAATTTATTGATTTCGCATCTGTTTAATGTAAAAATATTAAAATTGCTCAACAAAATAATAAATGTAAACTTAAAATACATTTACAAATACCCTATTTTGTAAAATGTAAAATAAAATACAAACACCTATTAATTAGTTTTACTTTTTATGAATTGATCTTGATTTACTCTAAAAAATCAAAATAATAAACTATTTTAACCCAATAAAATAATTATCTTTTACGTATTATAATACAAAAATTAGTATTATATTAAATTACAGTTTATAAAGTTTAAATAATTAATATAAATTATTAAATTAGTTTATTAATTATTTGTTATGTAAAACTAATTTAACACTCAAAAATGTAAATGCATGTAACTTTATTATATTTATTACCATAACCTATTGTTCGATTTTAAAATAATTTTAGATAAATAAAATAATTAAAATTTATAAACACTTATATAAATTAAATAAAATAAAACCTAATACTAACCAATATAATAATTGTTTAGACTTAATATGTAGTAAAAGAAAATGCTAATAAAGAACTAACCTGATCATAAGACAAAAATCCATTACCGGCACTCCAGTCGACAATAAACACATTACAGTCGCCGGCATCCAAAAACGCGTCCTTCATTTTGCCCATCCATACGCTGGCAGACGTGGTGTCGACAAAGCCGTGGACAATAAACCTGGTCATCAGCGAGCCCTTGAAATTGGTCTTGGTGATAGCGGCCAGATTGCCAGCGTCGCGCGATGTGAGCACCTGGGCAGTTTGTTTGTTATTACGCGTGTATAGATTGAACTTGGTGGTAAATTGAGCCGGTTTGGGTGGCCCAAATAGGCCAAACAGTTGGCACGAGCCTAGAGTAATAAACGCGGCTAAGAATAATAGTTTTATCATCTTGGTTGGTTTAATTTTATTAACTTTATGGTAGGTTTTCTATTATGGTTACTTTATATACAGTTATTTTATAAACTTCTTACGTAATTATGTTATATAATGTGCAAATGTTTAAGCATGAATAACAGATTTTTTGCACTAGGTAATTAATTTTGTGGTTTTTATTCTTTAAACATGGTCATAACAATAATTCAGTTTTGTACATTGTTGTACCCTGTGCATGTTTTTAAATAGTTTTGCAGATGTTGTTATTATTAATAAATTAGATTTAAATATATAATAAATAACAAGTATTTACATTATAATAATCTTAAAAGAAATTCATTGTAATATTATGTCAATTAATAATTTCAAACGAAATATGTGTTTAATAATAAATTGTACTTGTTATTATAAAAACATAATCACATAACGTATTTCAATAAAATAACTTTATATTTATAAATATACATTATCGAAGAATTAATTGATACATTGACCATGAAAGTTAAATAATAATTAAAACTGAAACACATTTTATACTTATGATATTTTGATTAATTAATTAATTAATCTACAATTATAATGTACATACTAATACATCTTTATATATAAAATTGGGGTAAATGAATATGTTAAAAAGATTACACTTACCGGTAAATGTTACTACATAGACTACAATAATTTTAAATAAAAATATTTAACATGCTCATGACATTTATATTTGTTTATTTTATTACATCAATATTAATTAATTATAATTTTATAACATGTGTTTATGTATTTAACCAAGAAAATAAGGGTAGGCTATGTTAGTGCTCAGGTAGTATTTGCGACCAATGGTACTTTTCTCATAAGGTTTAGACAGTACGGCCTGTTCACCCATTATAGCCTGTGCCACATTGTTATCCATGCCATCAACATTGCAACTTTCGGACAGGTATGAAATATAGTCGGAGCACTGGGTGGCTACAGCTTTAGGGTTTTTCGGGTTTATACTGGCTATGAAAAAGTCAACTGAGCGGAAATGATTGCATGCCACGGCAGAAAATAGACCTAGGTAGTAATTTGTAAAATATTTTAATAATTAAGTTTGAT